GGTGTATGCGTTCAAAAGGTTTAACCTTTTGAAAGTAATTTTTATTACTTTATAAAATGGGAGTGATGATGCTGAACTAGTAAATAGGGTTGTAAGGAACTTTGTTAAAACAAAAAAACATGAAATTGCAAATAATAGCTCTAATAATAATGTTACTGAAATTTACAAAGTACCTTTCATATATTATCTCTTTTGATCAATTCAGTTCAAATCAACAAGCATCTATTAAGCACTAATTATGTGCCAATCATTGTGTTGGATGACAGGGAGTTCCTGACCTTGAGCAGTACACATTTTATTGGAGGTAATATATATAATATATATAATATATAACAAACCTGTATGGTGGCAGCTACTGGTGTTATCATTTTCGTTCCACAGATGAGGCAGTATTAAGTGTCCACATAGCTAGTATGTGTGGCAGGAGGAGTTTTAAGCAAGGTTGTGTCTGACTTCAGGTCCTGAGTCCTTTCCTCTATGGTACAATGACAAATACTAGTTGGTAATAATTTCTTGGACCTGTGAATAGTGGCCTCAACCTGACATATCAATATAGAGTTCCTCTTATACTCCCAAGGAAATTGTACCTATAAAAAAGTAGTAGTACTGTTTCACAGATGCAACAAGACTATTATTCTGGCAACTGCTGATGCTGTCTTGATGTTATCATTTTAGACAGCAAGCTAGCTGCTGGCCTGCCCTTTGTTCCTTGCCCCCAAACAATGTTCCAGAAGGAAATGAGAAATATTTTGCCTTTTGTTGGAAAATGGAGTCATCTTGAGCAGCGAGGGAGGGGGAAAGATGAGCTTAAAGTTCAAGGTTTCTAAGACAGAATGTTGGATGAGAGTGCATGCATTTCAGCCAGTGAGTTTAATAAAAGGTGGAGGTTCTGACTCATCCAGTCTTGATGAGGGACCAATATAGACACATGAACACCACCAACTCACATACAGAAAAGATAACAGCAGGCTTATAACCCAAACCATGTCTACTTGTGTAGGCATCTGATGACCCCTGTGTCTGTTCACAGGCAGAATTTTAGTTCCCTAAATGAGGTGGATGGGTACAACTTCTTTCTCTGCAATTTGGGTGGACAATTTGACATCAGGGTTCTATTTCCAGGGTTTAAGTGACAATGAGGCTTTTTGGACACCTTCCTTTACATGCTTATTTGTGAGGGGAAGGGAATGAGGAATCATTTCTTCCATTTTAACACCTTTTATCTTAATAGTGATGATTTGATACTCCATGTACTGCTACTGGCCTTTTAAAAATACGTATGGGCCTACTAGCTCTACTTACTCTTCAAAGTCATGAGGCAGGCAACATGGTGACACAATGATGCCATAAATTATCTGGTTCAGTTTCTCTCAGCTTGAAGATATTTTCAGGGAATGATTGACCCAGTGGCCAATCACCAAGAAAATTGTGCCATCTCCTTTACAGTGAGTCTTCTATTTATTACCCTGGAATGGACAAGTGTGATATAGGTCACCATCAGGTGACCTCTATCAGGGATCTCAGAACTAAAGGCTTGGTTAGGCTCCTTACAGTCCTCCAAGGTACAGCATATCTGCAGCAATACATCTGAAAGGTAACAAGTATAGCATATAGAGGATGGGCCTTGGAGCCATGAAGACTTGAAGCTAGGTCCATTTTTTGATGTATATTAGCTCCGTGGCCATGGGTGAGTGCCTCTCATAGCACAAGGGGACTCTTTAGGACTTTACATTATAGATGAGTTGCCAAACTATATGGGTTGAGGATGAATCCACACTGGACATTCCTCAAACAGATGAAATTATAGGCCATTTAAAATTATAGATCTATCTATCTATCTATCATCTATCTATCTATCTATCTATCTATCTATCTATCTATCTATCTCTGTCTATCCATCCATCTACCTGTCTCTCTAACTCTATATAACTACCTGTCTATCCATCCATCTACCTGTCTGCCTATCTATCTGTCTGTCTATCTATCTATCTATCTATCTATCTATCTATCTATCTATCTATCTATCTGTCTGTCTATCTATTGATATAGAGATATCTTTTGAGCTCACACACAATTATCCCCCAGCATTCCATGAAATGCATGGAGGTTTCATTATATATGTATATGTATACTCACATATATGTACATACATCCATGCCCCAAAGTAGACTGTATCTATCTACCTCTATAGCTATTTCTGTATCTATAATCATATCTACATCTATATCTTACCTTGAGGCACACACATATCACTTCATCCAGACAAAAGTAAACTCCTTGAGGGCTGGATAATCACATGTTTTTGTCTTTATGTGCCCGTACTAATTCCTGCTAGGTTCCTGGAATGACCAATAAATACTTGTTGGATTAAATTAAATATATAGTCAGATTAACACCTCTGTGAAGGGAGATAAAAATTTAGATAGTTGTACAACTGGATAGGTGCTATGGGCAAACTTTAAATTTGAGTTTTTAGGCAATTGGACTTGATCATGGGTTCTTAGCTTTTGGTCTATGGACTTGATTTAAAAATATATTTATAATTATATTTTAATATAATTCATTTCCTTTGTAATCTTTCGTGTTTTAGTTTATCCATTTTAAGATGTTCTGAGGAATCCACGGGCTTCCCTAGACTGCCAAAGGGGTCACAAAAACTGTTGAGTCCTTGGACTAGATGATTGAGCACTGTGATCAGTTTCTCAAAAAGTACTCAATTTCTTTTTTTCATCCTTTTTTTAAATTCAAGTCTTCTTGTGCAAAACGACTAATTTGGAAATATTTTACATGATTGCACGTGTATAACCTATATCAGATTGCTTACTGCCTCAGGGAGGTGGGGGTTTGGTAGGGAGGTAGGGATAGAATTTGGAACTCAAAACTTAAAAAAAAATGTTAAAAATTGTTTTGATGTGTAATGGAGAGAAAAATAAAATACTTATAATAAAAGATAAGTGAAGCATGCACCATGAGGCAGCCCAAGGCAAGCTATTTTTTGTGCCCTTCTTGCCTCAACTTCCCCTGGCTCTTTGTTCTTATAGAACATAGATTTAAAGTCAAAGCATACTCAGAAATACCCTAGTCCACTCCCCTCATTTTACAGAGGAGAACATTTAGGCCCACAAAAATTAAATAATTTGCCTGGTGTCATACAAGTAATAAGTGACAGAAGTGGGGTTTGAACCTAGGTCTTCTGATCCAGCATTCTTTCCACTAACATACTAAGTCTTGTTGATTTGGAATTAACAGAAGAGATTGGGGGGAGGTGGGAAGAAGGATGAGGCTTACAAACACTAAGGGTAGTAATTGTGGTAGGTGACAGCAAGGGTGCCTTCAGAGAGCCCTACCTCATTGCGTTTCCTCCAGGACTAAAATCAAGGCAGAGGGCACAGGCAAATGACCCAGCCCTCACTCCAGGCTTGAATGAATCTCCCCTTCCACTCCACATTACAAACCTCCACACACGGTTCTTTCTATCCAAAAAGGAGAGGTAACATAGCCTGATGGATAGACAGGGGGCCTTGTGTCTGAGAAGACCTGGGTTGAAGTCCTGCCTTTGACATAAACAGGTTGTGTGACTCTGCATAACTTCCTTAGCTTCTTAGCTTTCTGGATAAGTCTAAGCATGTAAGTGTCAGAAAAAGTGATGACTTGGATTGGCAAGGAAGAGGACCAAAGACATCTTTCCTCGCCTCTTTGGATGTTGGTACAAAAAGAAGGTGGGGGGGAAAGAATGGCAAGCCGTGTAGGAGGGGAAATCAGCATAGGTACCTGCGGGCAGTCGGGTGAGAACAGAGATTAGGTCTTCCAGAGAGAACCACCAGGTGGCACCTCTGAGGAGTCTGTGAGGGCAAGTACCAATGTTGTCCGGACGTGTACTGGTGTATAACAAGACTGATAACGGAGTGAAGGCGCCGAGTTTCCTAGCCCACAGCTCTCGCTCTTTCATCAGACTATCCATAACCCGTGGGGATTTGCGTCCCAGCTCCCCTTCCGAGAGCACCCTCCAAATTGTGACTGTTCACGTCATGGTATTGCTCCTGCTAGATCAAGCTGCCCTAGCCTGTGCATAATTGCGTGAATGTTAAATCGGGGTTTGCTTTGAAAGGCAGGTGGTTGCACAGGGTCCAGATGTTGAGGGGTCCCGGGAGAATAGAGTCTGAGGGCTGGATGTGCCCGGGGCTCCCCCTGGACTTGGCAAGACTCACCCAGCCTGCGGCCTGGGTGCTTAAGGCCATACATAGTCTCCTGCTTTTCTCTCTGATTTCTCTAGCTCGCCAGCAGTGGCCTGCGAGGCGGCTGCACCCGGTCACCTCTGACCCTCTGCTTTGCAGCTCTGCTTTTCTCTTGCTAGACGATGTCACCAGTCAGTCCCTTCCAAGGGAAGTGGAGACCAAGAGCAGCCTAACTCAGCAGGGTGAGGAAGGGGACCAAGGACGTTTTCCCTCTCCTCTTTGGCCTGAGGGGGGTCAGGGCACCCAAACTCCTCTATAGGACTGCGAAGGGAGCTGAGCCAGTGCCCTAGCTGCTGCTGCTAATCTGCTGGTGACATTGGGAGGAGATGGCTTGGAGGAAGGATAGGAGAAGGAGGAAGAGATGGAGGGGGTGGAGTAGGAAGAAGAGGAGGGGGAAGAAAGTAGCATTTGTGCCAGGGGGTGTGTGAGCAGCAGCGGGCGCTTGTGACAACTTCTCTGGCGGCAGCAGCGCGTGTGGCAGGGCTGGCAGCGACGACGGAGGGAGGGAGGGAGAGAAGGGGAAAGGAAAGAGGGTGGGTGGCGGTGGAAGGGGATGTGTGCGTGCGTCTCTTTCTGAGCCTGCTGCCTGTGCCCAGCGCTGCTGCCTCCGCCACCGCGGCTGCCCCTGCTAGTCTCTGCTCTGCTCATTTCCTCTTGGTTTTTTCAGCCAGAGGTGCTGGAGACTCCAATCTATAAATAGCAGGTTACAGCTCCTTCTACACGCACACGCGCGCGCATATCTCTACACGCACACACGCACTCACACACAAACACACATACACTTCGAAGGAGGAAAGTCAAGCTAAAAGTCTGTGGTGCCACTGCCTGCCTACACCTCCGGCCGCCGCTGCAAGCCCCCAGCCCCACCTCCCTCCGGAGAGGTAATTTTTGCCTCTTATTTCCAAGGACTCTCTGGGAATGTTGGCGGGTCTGGATGGGGAGTGGGGGAGGTGGGAGAGTGCTGCTGCCCTGGAATGGGTTTGGGGGAGCACCGGTGCGTATCCTGGGCTGGGGTAGGGGAATGGACAGACTATTGCCCTGCAAGTTTCTCAGTTGGGCTACCCTGTTCACCACCCTCCCCCCACCCATTCCTGCACCCCAATCCATTCTCCTAACTGATAAGCTATCTGGTCTCTTACTTGGTCCTTTCTCCTCTCTTTGCTATCCGTTCAACTCCTTGCTTTAATTCCCCCCTGTCTCCGACCATGCACACACCCTCAGGTGCCTTCAGGTGTACCTACGGCTGACCTTCCTGGGCACTGCCCACTTGCACGGCTTGTGGCCCTGCTGGCTATCTGGCTCTCCCTGGTGCTACTGCGTGCCATCCCTGTCCTAGACTCAGAGCTACTGCATCTCAAACGGAGAGAGCTTGCTGCTGGGGGCTCTCAACTGCCAACCACAGCATCCATCCTTTCCTTGCTTCCCGTGTTTATCACCACAACTCCATTATATGCGATTGTTTCCTCTCCCCTACCCCCTCACCACCCATCCCTCCGCCCCTGAACTGCAATTCCGAACTCAATAGAGACCCCAATGCACCGTTAACAGCAGTTGGTCTTAGCCTGGGGACCTGTACTGGAGACCATCCTTTCTTTGCTTCCCTTTTCCCCTGCGTAGACCCTGGCTCCCCAGCTCCTCTCACCCTAACTTAGAGGGAGGACAAGTACAGACTCGAGGGACTGATGCCTGTGTGGAACGACAGGCAACAGGGCTGGTGACTACCGTGATGTGGAGTGGTTGCTGGAGTCCAGCTCTAGATACCTGGTTTGCCCCTCCTCCCTCCCCACCCGTCCAAAATCTCCTCCCACCGTAGTGGCTCCTACCACCGCTGCCCCAGAGGAGATGTAGGAGACAGACCCAGGAGCTGCTGCTGTCTGGGGAGAAGACGTTCATTTCTAAGGGTGAGGATGCGCATATTTATTAGGTTGTTGCTGCTGTTGTCCAAAACTTACCGGGAAAACCTAGTGGATTTTTCTGATGCTGTTATTTTAATAATGCAGACTTGCTTCTTCTCCCCTTTTCTCTTCTTCTCCGCCCTCTTCCCCTCCTTGTCTCTTTTGAGAATTAGATGTATATTTAGGCGTTTGTATATCTCATGGCTTGGGGTGGGGGGAGCTTCGTTCTGTGTATATTTTTCCCCTTCCTTCAATACCCCCTCTCCCCAGCGGCAGAATTTGGTTGTATAAATGTGTAGGGCTATAAAATGCCTCTCCCTCAAAAAAAAAAAGCCCCAAATAAGCAACAAAGGCAAAAAGCAAAATCTAATGGAAAGAGTTAAGTGATTATTATTAGTAGTAGTAGTATTGCTATTACTGTCATTGGTTTAAGGCAGGGACTACATAACCTTTTGGTAGGTGTGCTTCACAGATCAAAAGTTGGGCACCCAACAGCAGGCACCAGGAGTCTTCTTTCTAGTGGGTCTTGGACCAGACATTAGAGGAAACTGACTTACTGCATGCTACTGGGCTGTTAAACCATTCACCGAGGAAGAAAAAACCACAGGCAAGGAAGCGCAGTTTATGTTGAGTAAGAAGTTCAGTGAGATGAAGGTTGCAAGCAAGACAGGAATTGTCAGTTTACCCAGTATAAAGAGTAAGGTATTAGCTTGGTTATGTCAGTTTCATAGAGCAGCCCAAACTGAGCACTGGTAATTCAGCATAAAAGATCAATCTCCTTATGATAAGTAGATTACGGCAAATATAAATTTGGGAGATTTGTTCTAATGTTGAATTGCTCTTCCTATGGAAATGTCTTTCTACTTAATTCTTTAAAATGTGACATAAGAAGATTGCCCTTGAAAGGTTATAAAATGTGCATGGAATACAGGCTGAAGCTTCCTCTCAATGGAAAACATGTTTGCTGGTTAAAGTATATTATCCTATTCCTTTAAAAAGAACATTCTGTTTGATAATTAGGAAGTTAACACTTACTGATGGTAGGATGATGACAAATAAGGTACACATTTTAATCCACATTTTGATGCTGAGATGATAGATATGTGATACAGGCATAAAAAAATGACCAGACAGACATTAAGATCTCTAGCCTGGGCATTTCATCTGTTGAAGCACAGAGCCAGAGCTACAGGCAGAAAATCTATTTCTGAATTTTGGGTTCAGAAACCCAGGGCTCAAAATCATCCATATTGAGATAAGACTTCATACCCGATTTCTGTGCCCAAACTGATGGAATGACTTCAATTTTCAGATCATTTTGGACATCATGCTGAAAGGGCAGTAGCTTATAACATAGACTAATTCATTAGTGAAATTTCATGGATTAGTAGTATCATTCCATTTCAGGTATGTGAAAAGGAAAACCATTAACTTTAGGGAAAGGACTTCTTTCAACAGATACTCATTCTAAATTTTGTGACTTGAAGATAATTTATACCCTGCATGAGACCTTGGAGTGTCTCCCACTACAAGTAATGTAAATCTCCATGTGGGGAGCAGAATTAACTTTCACTACCTTGAGGCAAAACCCAAGGGGGTGATTCTCAGAAAAGCAGAGAAAGAAAAAAAAACACTGCAAACTGAATTCATATCCCTTAGCAACCACATGCATAGCAGTTTCCAGGTAAGTATCTAACATCTGAGAATCCAAAGTTTTATTTTTTTTAATGGAATCATTATAATTAAAGAGTGAAATGCTTACTGAATACCCATCTCCACTTTGCCTGATTCACAGACACTAATCCCTAGCCAGTGACTACATTGAAAAAACACAGGTTAACAGACTTGTGCCAATAATACATTCTTGTTCTTCACAGATATGGGAATTTTAATAGGTAGGAAGACATACTGTAAAATCATCACACATTAAAATGTTAACGTGTAATTTAGTATCTTGCTGTCTTTTTCTAAATTTCCTACTTTGTTTTACAACCAATTTTATTTTTACATGCAAATCTTATTTTCAAGCCCTTAGGGCATCTACAGGTTATTGGCTAAATTAAAAAAAAAGTTGGCTGAGAAATTTTTGTATGATGTATCATAAAGGAATTTTAGGATACATTCATTGTCACACTGGAATTGCGTGCCTAAGATTAAGTTAAGAAGGAATTGATGGAATAAATCAATTTCAGAAACTTTATTTTTATATGAACCTTATTATATATTATAATTACATTTTGGTTCCCTGGAGATTTATTAGTTATATTTATATCCTTTAATGCTTACTCAGTATTTCTTTGAAATAAGTCCATTTTAAAGAATTTTCAAACATGGCTGATATATTGATGGAATCCAGGTAGAGGGGTGTGTGTGTGTGTGTGTGTGTGTGTGTGTGTGTGTGTGTGTGTTTCAAGCAACTTTTTAAACCCTTTGGCAGCTTTTAGATGAGAGGCAATATGATATAGGAGATAAAGAGCTCAACTAATCTGGAAGACCTGAATTCAGGGTCTCCATCTGATATATATTATCTGTTGTGACCCAGGATCAGTGTCCTAGGCAACTCTGTTAGATTCTTTGTTTTAGGTGGAGTGCTGAGGGAGTTTCCATTCTGGGAGCTCTCTGGGTATATGTAATTATAAGTCTAGAACCAAAAGAAAAGAAAGTTTTATGATACATTCTCAACATTCTTATTGTTTCCATATGGCAGGATCCTTTCATTTATTGAAAAGATACTAATTGGCATATTTGTTTTATATTAGATATTTTTCTACAGCATTATTGTGTTATGGCTTGTAAACTTTGGAAGTGGACAAAAGAATTTTGAAATCTTTGCTGACATTAAGGAGTGTAATAATCCTGAATCTTATTTTTGCCATCGTAGGCATAGGTAGTGTGCAAAATTGCGTTTTCTTGGATCATACTTTCAAATATAAAGTATTTTGCATACAGTAGGCACTTAATCATCACTTGTCCAATGAATGAATGCATGGAAACAGGGTGGCTAATGCATCAATATTTAAAGTAATGACTATTGCTTAGGAAATTTAGCTTAGGATCCTGAACGTGAGGCAGCTAGGTGGCATAATAGATGATAATGCTGAACCTGGAGTCAGAAATCAGGATGTTCACAATATTTTGAGATATATATGAACTGTGTGGAAAAGTCACTCACATTCTTTCATCTTCTGTTTCTCCATCTGTAAAATGGGAATAATAACATTTCTCTCACAGGATTGTTGTGAGGACCAAATGAGAGATCATATGTATAGTAAAGAATGAATGATTTGCCAGTGATCCAGTTGGTTTGGTCAATGTACTAGACAACTTGTAGTTGAATCTCCACTTTACTTTGGGCTATGTGGACATAACCAATGATAAAAGAATCCCATAGGACTTATCTAAAAGATTTACCTAAACCCCAACCCTTCTTAATTCTAGTGCCTTCCATCTGTTAATTTTTTCTTATTTATGCTATGTGTAGCTTGCTTTGTATATATTGCTTTGTATGTATTGGTTAAGATTGTAAGCTCCTTGAGGTCAGGGACTGCTTTTTGCCTCCTTTTCTTATCTACAGTGCTTAATAGTGAGCATATAGTAGGTGCTCAATAAATGTTTATTGATTGACTGAAAGCTGCAGTCCTGATTTTTTAAGCTTCCATTTCACTTGAAAGAATTGTGGTGGTGTTCCAAACTTCCCTTCTAGCAGTTTTTATAGTCGATAAGCACTCAGGTTATTGTGAGTGGATTGGAGGGATAACAATACTAGTTCATGGTGAACAAGAGCACTAACAGTAGAGCTCATCGATCCAAGGATTAACATGTCTTTCATTTTTTACCTGGGGAAGGGAGCCGTGTGGAGATGAAATATGGAAACTTTTCTGCAACTGGAGTGGAGAAAAGGTTGCTAGAGGGCAAGACAAATGGCATCACCTTTCTCACAGTCTCTGTCTCTGTCTCTCTCATTCTTTCTGAAACCCCTCAGGTGA